ATAAGGTGTAGGAAGATGTATTGGGGGATGAGGATAGACAAATAAATACAGATTAGAGATTATTACATTATGATGCAGGTTCTCATTCATTGACTGTGTCTAAAATATCAAATATGTTTTAATAATAATACAATGCATCATACAATGAATTGCATCATATTAGTGTATATAATAGGTCATCAAATCAGTGTCAGTTAACTCTGTCAACTAGGTTGCCTGTAGGGATTTTTAATGTCCAGCAGGTGTCAGTATTCAGTGACACAGTATCGACACAGTATCAATACAGTTTGGTAATGTGTCGAAACGTTTCATGATGCCTCATCAACCCATCACTACTCGAGAGACTGGTTTCCTAGGAGCGAGAAGACAGAGACAATTAGAAATAAGGTTTCTCTAGGAAGATAACTATTTAGTAAATTTAGAGGCTCAGGTTCGCTAACCAAACTTGGCTAACACTGCGGCGTCGAAGCAAGGTCTGGCAGCTGCTTATAAGGGCCGGTCTCCTGATGAGCTGATGAGCGTCAGCTGTGCTGGAGGGCTCCAGCCCAGGAGGATCCACAGCGCACTCTGCTGGAGAAGGTGGAGAATCTCCAGATCCCAACAAAAAGTCAAGTGGATCTAGGAAAGTAGTCCACTGTGAAATGGATTATTAGACTGTGCTTTTTCTTGATTAAATCAGTGTAACACTGTTCTATTCTTTATGCTGAGATGTAGGAAAAGGAAGGAAGAGTGAAAAGAAGCTGTATTCTTCTATAGGTTAGATAAGGGAGAAACATAAACATGTCCTTATTATTCTCACAGTCCTGTTTCTTGATGAACGGAAGACAGTGGTCTGAAATGTTTATCTGATTGAATTGTTGACCCTGATGTACTAAAGTGACTTTCTAGAAAGACTCATTGTTCATGTGTGCGGAGTCTCCTTATAAGCAGGGGAGGGAGGCTATCATAGCAGAACCACACTCAGAGCTGTATTCAGCTGTATTCAGCTGTTTTGCGTCGTTCTCTTCTGCAGAGTAAAATAAAACCTTTTCTTCCTTGCATATCCGCTCTCAGTGCTCATTTTTACTCCATACCACTCAAAGGTTCTGGCAGTTCTTGAAGGATCCTTCTTCTTCTTTCTGATGAAAGACCACAACTGTTCCTACAGTCATATGATGGGTAAAGAGCCAACCAGATCTTATTATTTAGATTAAATAAGCATCTATTTTCAGTTTAATGTGTGTTAGATATTGCAACACAAGGCAACATGTAAAATCACCATAAAGCAAAAACATTTTCACACACAGACAGTAGAAACCATTATGCTTATGTAGCTTATGTCGTTGTTTTATTTTTCGGAAGGCAGCTTTAAAACCGAAACTTTCACAGTCATTTCACACAATAATACATTTAAAGTGTTTATTTACAGTGAGTGTGATTATTATGGCTGATGTCGAAAAAAGTCATTTTAGTTAGAAATTTGTAAGATGCAAATGAATAAATATTTCAAGTATTTATTTACATCAAGTTTAATTTTTTTTGTTTACAGCCAAAGAAATTCTGTCACAATATGTGTAATTACTAAAATGGCTGTAAGGCTGCATCTCTGAAACTATTGTGGGAGAATTCAAGCAAAAAAGTAACTACATATCTTATTTAAAAATGTTCTCTGATGTTTTATGCAGAATTAAAACAGATTCCTTCAAAATCAAAATAAAACTTTCAGAAACAGGAATTATAATGAGTTAAAATGCAATGCAAAAGTCCATAGAAAACATATTTGGACATTTAGAAAAGCCTGGAGTACTGCAGAGAAGACCATATTTAATGACTGTAAGAAGCTGAAGCTGGTTGGAAAACAAAAAAACAAAACAAAAACAAAAGTAACGGTTTTACAGTAGGACTAGATCTTACAAATATAATAAATGAAATTGTTTATACTTTCAGTGGGACATTAGATATTGTCATGCAGTTGCTGTTTTTGTCTCAAAAGATCAAATCTACAGTCAATGGACCTTAGGCTTCAGCTAAATTGGTAAAGTTAGTTGAATAAACAGCAAAATTAAAAGAAAAAAGAAACAGAGAAATCAATAACGTTAAAGTTGCACATTTATCATCTATTTTAAACAGCTTAACATGTTTAAAAATAATGTTTTTAAAAAACATAAGCATGTACTATGATAAATATCTTCATATACATAGTTTGAACCTTTTAATATCACTTTTTTCTTCCCTGTCGACATTAAATTACTTTTCCTCTTTCAGGTCAGTACATCATCAAAAAGTTTTTGACTTAATAAATGGTGGAATGATACGAGATTTTTACTGATCAACAGCATCAAACAAAGCAGATTGGTTTTGGTTTTATTTTTCAGTTGGGTCGTCATGAAGAAAAACAGATCCTAGCCCTATTTTATTTTACTACCTAAAAAAATATTTTCATTTACCACTTGCAATGCACTCACGAGTATGCGTACCCCCTTTTAGGAATCACTGTATAGTCTATGAGTATAATCTCAATAAATTGACTTGAAGTGGTTGATCTTAATATATACTTGTATTTTTCTCTTAAAATGGGGCTGAAATAGCAAAATTTCCAAAGTATTCAAAGAATTTGGGTGTTTAACGAACAGATATGATTTTGAAAACAAACACAGACCTTAAATGACAAAAGTTTAGTCTGATATAACACCTCACAGTTAGAAAAAAGACAATGTCCTTCAAATCAGTGTTTCTAAATATGTGGTTTTATGTGTACTTATATGTAAAGTGGTGGATCTTCAGATGCTCTATGTCTGTTGGTGATAATGATGTAAAAATATAAAGACGATGATCAGGGGGAGCAATAGGATGATGTTGATCTCTTTGCTCCTCGGTATTCAAGCTCCTCCTCATCTGTTCAGAAAACACCAACATGTATTAATCAGCACTCAAACAAATACTGTTAATATTAACAATATTAGTCTTATATGAGTTAAGGCATAGCTTTCATTAAAACTATTCAAGTTCTAATTAAAGAGGATAATGAAAAGATCTGGTCAATTTTTATCAACAATAAATCATCACAACTGAGGGGATGTTCAAGGGAAAGCACTCTAGAATTAAATGCCTATTTCTTTTTAAAATTGGTGTTCAGGCATGTTTCGTGGTGAGTGACCTTGCATAAACTTTTTACTGTACATGTTGACATTTGGCGCTTCGCTCTATAATTTCTCTGCAATGTGTATTTATCTCAAAGCAAAGTACGCTTAGTTAAAATATGATTCCTAGGTAATGTTCTTCTACTGTGATAAAAAATGGCAAACATGAGGATGAAAATAAAACAGGCTAACTGGATGAAAGATTATATCTATATTCATATCTATATCTATAGTCATTGTTAAAATTTAATTAAAAAGGGGTTGAATTCAGCATGATCAGGACAAAAAGGTGGGCCAAACAGTAAGCCTTGGGGTACTCCATGATTCTGATTTCAGATATTTACATTTAACAGTCAATAATTATGAGTTATAAGTCATTAAAATAAGTTTAGTCACCAAGTTTTCCTTTTGTTTGGGGATTTTTCAGCTTTAAAATGAATGAACTAAAACAGAGGAATAAACATTTTACCATTCTCCCGGAGCTTCTTTTTCTTTTTACATATGACACAGCAGCACACAATGATGATGATCAACACTAGAAGAAAACCTTAAAAAGATCAGAGAAAAAAGATCTGAGGTGCAGAAATAAAAAGATTTTTAAGTTGACTTTTATCTTTTTTTTTTTTTCTTTAGTAAGTTTCAGTGTAATTGCAAACATACTGTACCTCCCCCACCAGCAATAAAAATCCAGGTGCTGATTCCAAATAACTCATCTGGAATGCCTGGAAGAACTAATAAAAAATAGAACTCAGAAAAATAACTTTAAAACAAAGAATAATCAACCCAAACATTTATTTTCTAATGATATGATGGCAGTAATAACTAGTATAGATACTTACTATTGTAAACACAGTTATGACTCAAAGATAAACTCTTTTCAGAGCTGCCATCATTATAAACTTCACAGGAGAAGTTCATGTTTTTACTTTCTGAAATTGTTCTTATCAATGAGATTTTTATTTCATTGTGGATCACTTCCCCATTCTGGAACCACTTGTACTGTGCATCATCAGCCTGCTGTGGGGAGAAATATAAAAAGCTGTTAAAAAAGCATATATAGAGGAAAATATTTCAGCATAATTTGATTTTGGAAATATGAGAAAATAGGAACCAAATAACCTTGAAGAAAAAAAAAAACGGTTTTAAAATGACATAAAAAAAACATACATGAAAACTCACTTTGTATTGATAATCATTATTAAACATTATTGTAAAAGGATAATTACACTACAGAGCCTTCCTGACAATTGTAGGCCTGCTTCGGGTTTATGAAACCAGCTAAAGTTTCTAAGGGGACCTTTGAAGGCCCCAAAGTGTCATGATTTATTGCAAAGTTACAGTTTTTTTTACGTTCAGCTCTGCTCCTGGCAGCATTGTCACTAATTCTTCCCACCTATGCAGCTCCATCGTTTCTCATCAGTACTCATGCTTACCCTGCCTATTTATCTCAAACCAGTGACTGATGCTAAATTATTTGAAAGCCTCACAATAAATAGATGTCAAGCTTTGCTTCCACAGCTGATTGTCTGATCATAACCTTTGTCTGGTTGAATATTGGTTCCTCAGTCTAGAACGTTACACAAAGCAGCCTTTCTTTAAGAAAAAAACATGTTCTCACCTGAGCAGCATTGCAGGTAAAGAAGACCTCTGAGCTCTTACAAGTTGTATTTATTTCAGGCTTCCTCACAGGTTCTAAGTGGGTTTGATTAGATGAGAAACATTAGAAAAATTAGTGTAGAACTAACTGAGCTGCTGGCTCTCTTTAGTAACAGGATGGCACATATACTTAAATCCAATTTACTGAATAATAAAAAAAAATTTAAATTATTTTTACTGTTTTTACTATTATTGTAACACTTACCAAAGCACATATTCACCACAGGATCACTTCTTTCATTGCTTATCTTGTTGTAAACTTCACAGGAAAACTGGACTTTTTTCATTTCCACAATCTTTTTTTTTAGGTTGATTCCCGTTTCGTTAATCTGATTCCCATTCTGGAACCATTTGTATTGTGAATCATCTGGTTTCTAATGAAAATGATGAAATATTGTTTAAGATTTTAGAAATTTACCAAGTTTGAGTTGAGGCAGGATCCAAAAAGATTGCTTTTACCTTACAAACATGAAATGCAATAAAGGCTACAAGTATTTGTCCCCCTCGTCAGACAAATGTTTATTCAGACAAAGAAAATTTGTAAATTAAAAAAAAGCTGTTTTCAACAGATGATTTTGTCAAAAAATATAAATGCTTATCTAAACCAATACGGCCAATGTGGCGCTATAACCGCCTATCATATAAAATCATTATTTAACTGTGATTACTTACATTTTTGGGATAGTTTAGATAGATAAAAGCACAAACCCAGAATCTGATAGCTGTTATTCCAGTAGGATCAATAAAGTACTTAAAAAGAATCTATTTGACTACCCGAAATAAGTTGTTTTAAAAAAGCAATACAAAACCCAGAACTGAAGGCATTTTAATAACAGACGATAAATCAACTCACATATATCAGAAAGGGGAACCAGAGTAAAGGTAATTATCCACAAAAAGAAAAAAAAAAAAAAAAAAAAAAAAAAAAAAAAAAAAAAAACATAAAACAGCAGTGACCCTTCCTTGGAGCAGCCAGCCAACTGACACTAGCAAATCAACGACTCTGAAGGGCCCGTAATGGCACTGGAAGCTCTTCATGTTAGAAATCCAGTTTTGTGTGGGTTGTGTTTTGTGTTTTTCTCTCCCTCCACCACCAGGTGGTGCCCTGTCCTCGTTGATCCTCCCACACACCTGCGGCTGGTTGGCTCATCACTAAGGACTATTTGAGCGATCGACTGTCACTACCTCGACGCCAGAGTGTTTGCCAGTTTTGGGTACTCTGGCCAAGCTTAGATTAGCTGAGTCTGAGTCTTTGTTTGACTGCGCCTAACGTAGTTTATCTTTGCCTCTCGGCAGGAAGCCATCCTGCAAGCTGGATGTTTGGCCTTCTTCCCCTGGAGGGATTGTTTGAGTCTCACACTGAGTAGGGGATTAACCTCCACAAGTTCCGTTCAAGTTCTCCCGGAATTCGAAGTGACAGTCTGCTCCATTGATCCTCAGGATCCAACCAAGTCAAAACCTGTCCAACGAGCCCCTTACCTCTGGATAAACCCACACCAACTGGATTCTGGGAAGAAAGTTTTCTCCACTAACGTGAGTCCCGTTTTTCTCTGTTTGTCCAAGCCATCGTCCAAGGTTCCCATGGACCCTGAACTAACCTGTGATACTTCCCTTTCACTTCCAGTTCCGGTTCAACAGTACACTGAGTTTCCTGAATCCAACCCCTGTTGATCTCCTCAATAAACCTGTTAAACTTTTACCCTGGTTCACTGAGTTGTTTACTGCATGTGGGTCAGATCTCTTAAGAACATCATGACACTTCATGCTTCTAAATTAATTCTCAATAGCATTTGAGACCAAAATCACAACTAAAATAATGCAATAAAGAAACCTAAAAGCCCATCCAAAATTTGCCAAAACACATATTGATGATTCCCAAGAAAAGGAGCAACAGTCTAATATTGGGTGGTAGAGCAGTTGTCCTGAGCTGCTTAAGGGATGGTTCAATAGTAAATATAAGTGATATAAATATAAATTATCCTCTAGAAAATCCTGCAGAACAATGCTGGGCTATTCTTTCATGAGCTTAGGTTTGGGTTTTGCACATCAACAACGATCTAAATCACACTAATCCACCTCTGCATGGCTCAAAAAAGAGGTTTTAGAGTGGTCTAGTCAAAGTCTGGACTAAAGTCCAGTCAATACTGTAGGATGACATTCAACAACCAGTTTATACACCTCTAATATGTCCAAATGAAACAAATTCTGCAAAAGTTAAAAAAAGATTAATATGTTAAAGATCGAAATAATCAGCTATTTGGGTGCAATTAGTTTCCCTTTAAAGGGCCAGGTGATTGCAATAACTTTTCCCTTCATAAATAAAATCCTTATTTGGAATCTACTTCTTATATTTGTTTGCTAAGGATGAAAAATAATAATAAAAATTAAGGCTCATATTAAAACAACAATAGAAAAATCTACGACGGGGTAAATACTTGTTCACATTACTGCATAAAAAAAAAAAAAAAAAAAAAAAGTAAAATTTTCCATAAATATAATTTGAGACTTTGTAAAATTTTTAGAAACTCTCTAACATCTCTTAACCTATGTGAGGTCGCCCATTAGCGATCAGTCTTGTTCTATAATGCTTAAAAAAATATAATTAATTAATTAACGATGAAATTGAAAAAATAATTAAATGTGAGCTCACCTGCATGTTTTGAGGAATGCAGGTAAAAGTGACATCTGAGTCCTTGCAGGTCACATTTATTGAAGGCTTCTTCACACGGTCTGAGTTGGTTGGATTAAATCAAAAAGATGATGTGCTAAAGGAAGTCATATCGTGATAAACAGCATAGAGAGCTGCTAAAGCATCAGTCCTCTACAGGAACCACAGCTTTAGGAACTCATGAGAACTTTAAATTATTCATAGATCTTTAAAGATAAAAGTCAGAGATTATCATTGACTGAATAAGTGACCAGTTTATACCCACCCAGCACGCATAACCTGACTCTCCTGTGGGTCTTTTCTTTTCCTGTTTGATCATAAACCTCAGTGAAGTAAACTCCAGCGTGGTTCTTCTTCAGATTTACCAGTTTAAGGGACCCATCTGCATTAATATCACCTTTTTTCCCAATAACAAGGCCTTGCTTTTTTCTATAAATTATTACTCTTTCTTCAAACCTCCACTTCAGGGTATCATCAGATTTTACTGTGTAATCCATAGGAACAGTGATGTTTTCGCCTGTTGCAGCATACTGGTCACAACCTTAAAAAAAAAAAAAAAAAAAAAACTTTTTAAAACTTCATTAGATACAACGCATAAATACTGTGTCTCACACAATTATGTTAAAATTTCAACTTAACATTACCCAAGAAGATTTAACGAATATAAATACATTTCTTTCAATGTGACCAATTCTGGAGTATTTAAAAAAAATTAAAATCAATAAACCTTTAATAGTATAGTGGAGGATACTCTTGCATGCGTTTAATAGTCATTTCCTTTGGGGAGTGGGTACAGGTTTGTGCATGTACATTTTTATTTAAATTTCTTTAAGTGGACAGGGCAGGTCTTTTCAAAAATATGCGAACATCCTTCACTATAAGATGCAAAATAGAACTAAAAACAGTAAAAAAAAAAAAAAAAAAAGAAAAAACTCTAATGACTTTAATATCTTTATGAATTATTGTCAGATTCAACTTGAACTTTCAGTCCTCTTTCATTTAAACCAGACATCAGTATTAGAAAGTCTACTTGTTTAGATTTTATTGACAATTTCTTCACAACATTTACTTTAAGAAAAGAGAAGCAATACCAGAACTTTTTCCTTCATGCAAAACATGCAGACATGGCTAAAATCTTGTAAAACTTTAACAGTCGTCTGTCAAAATCTAAAGGAACCAAAATCTGTTTGAGGGAACCCACTATATCAGCCACTAACAAAAACTACATGGCGGTGGCTGCATCATGCTTTGGGGTTCACTGTGTTTTAATGGGCCTTGGATTTCTGTCAAGAAGAAAAATACAATCTGTCCTAAACACCATTTATTTCTGACCTTAACCCTTTAAAGCCTGATCCAAGAATAAAACAAAACAGAAAACTACTTTTTTTTTCGTTTGAATTCCTTATTTGCACTTTTAACAAAATATGTAAAAAGAAAAAACAGAAGTACATTTTTGATATTAATAATTTATTACTATGCGATAAGTCAAGATTATTTTTTGTGTAGTCTTCTACTGGCTGTTATCAGGTATATCTGATCGTGTACAATAGGATTTTGAGCAAAGTTTTTACCATTAAATTATGAAAAAGGTGTCAGAGTCAAAACATTTCAGAAACCGCATGTATCAAGTATGATACATTTGGCATTATAGGGTTAAACATTTAGGTTTCTGCTAGAAAGATGCTGAAGATAAGAGACATCTTGAGATCATCATAAGAACTTCTTCAGCAGAGGAAATGTTCAAATTCTTTGGGCCAGAGTGCAAAACTACATATTTGTGGTTAACTGAATGCGGGTGTAGACAAGAGAAGTCATCACAATCTGAGAGATCTGAGGAACTTCTACGAATCACATCAACTTTAGGGTATGCAGCCAAGTTATTTCACTTTGAATTCCTATTTTCCTGTTAACTGATCAATGCAATTCTATGCAACATTTTGCACACAAGCATTGAAATAAATGTCGGAAAGAGTTAAAATAAATCCAGATAAGCGAATGCATTTATACCTTAAATACCTGGAAATGGAACAGCAGTGCATGGAGAGAAAAATGAATATGAATCTGTTATATTTGAATTTAACTTACAACTAAAAGATATGTACAAAACCAACAAAATTAAGACACTGAAAATAAATATATACAATGGAGACTCTTGACCTCAAACATCTGTTTGTGGTGCAACAATTTCCCCAAACAGTACATCCGCTCTCAAGAAATACGTTATTGAAAACGGCATTATTTTATTATTTTACCATTTAATTAAAGAGTTTAAATCTAATTTACTGAGCGATATAACTGGCCGTTTTTAATTATTTTCTATCTAAAATGTTATCCAAGCAATTAAACAATCCAACCGTGATTTAGAATGGTTTACTGAAGTCAAATGGAAAACATGAACACCTACACAACTGCGTTTTACACCTAAAATGGAAAAAGAAAAATGCAACTGAACAAAGACATGCAGCTGAAAACAGAAGGTCAGAGAAATAAAGTCAAACTTAACAGATCTGCTCTTTTAGGCTCCCCTAGAATCCATTAGAATGAGGTATTTCATACCTTGGGTTGCGACGGCGAAGCAGCAGAGCAGAAACACAGAGAATGGAGCCATCTTCTTCACTGTCTCCATCACTTTGAGATAACTTTCCAACATCAAGGTTATTTCCTGTTTTGACTTGTATGTGGGCTGCCTTTCTGTCACTGCACACTTCCTCTGTTTTTTTAGCTTTAAGGAGAGCATAATCACAATAGTTACATAGTTACATAATCACAATAGTTACTGCAAGAACCTTAAGGCATTAAGAAGAACTGTTAAGACCTTAAAGTGATGCGATTCTTTATATTCTATCATATGGAGTTAAAGTGTCTCTTGGCACAAAGGTAAACATATAAACCATTTTTAATTACTACCTCTCATAGTTGAGATAAAATAAAATTCGAATATTTCTATAAAGATTCTGCAAAGTACGCACGGATAGAATATGAAGGTTATTTAGATTAAAAAACAACTTTACTCACCCTATATCTCAATCAACCGTAGTTCTTGCAGATGTGAAGCTCAATAAACCCCTAACTTGATAAAACTGTGCAAAGAGGTTGGTTTCTGACTCTTGACGCTCTGTCCCACCGTCAGCAAGATGGGGGATGTTTGCAGCCTTGCAAGCAGTAACTACAATCGATCCGCTTGTGGTTTCACAGCTCAAACCAGACCAACAGCTGTATTTTATCAGATTCCTTTTAAAAAAATAGAGCACTGAAAAGTATTCATCTCATTATATTTAGATATAAACCAACATAATGATATTAAATATTATCAAATGTAGGGAAGCTGATGCATGATTTTCAACCTTGTTACTATTATTTAGCCCTATTTACTCTAAATAAACCACAACCCAACTGTTACCTTTAAGAGTGAAGTAAGATACAGTTGATCTGGGATTGTTAACATAAGGTAACCAACAGCAGGAGTGGTTGATTCATTTATTCATCGCTAGATAGTAATTATTAGTTTTTGTATTCTTTGTTTTCCTGTATGCACATATACGTTTTTTCTCCTTTACTTTTAGTGCATTCTTTTTATTTCTTTGTCTTTGTTTTTGTTTCCCCCTCCACTGCAGTTAGTTTTTATTCTCTTTTTTAGTTTCACATGTCTTTCCTAGGCTTCTCCTTGTGGTTTTTGATGATGTGTTTCCTTTTTTACCTAGTTTTTGTTTGATCATTACCCAATAAAAGGTTACCTCTTAGTTTCTCTTTGCTTCTTCTGCATTTTAAACAATGGCTTTTGATTTAGATCATGGACAATAACACCATATAGTGTAATTTCACCAAAAATATATTAAAGTTCTCCAACAAACAAGTCCATCTCTATCGAATTAAGTAACAATTAGTTCAGGATTATTCCAAATTCATCCAGTTAATCCCATTCATTTTGGTATTTATTCAGATCCAATTATATGCAGTCCAGCACATAAAAATGACCCATATTTTGAAAACATTATGTCACTTAGATTACTTAAATTTGATATCAGAGCTTCAAATGTGACCTTATCATAATTTCTCCAGAGTTTTCTGAAAGTTCACTTGTGATTGGCTGTTGAATTCCTAATAATGGCTCCTGTCCTGAAAACTTCTGTGGCAAAAAAGGCTGCTCCATTTTTTCCAAATCGCAAAAATTGCAAATCTTCTTTTATAAAGTAAGCTTGTCTGAGCGACGCAAACAGCAACTTTTAAACAGAGCGTGCACAAGGAGAAATGGGTTCTTGCATGCTCTTGCATGAGTTAAATAGGGGATCCCTCTCAGAAGCGTGTGCATTTTCTTTTTTAAGTGGAGAGGGCTGGTCTTTTCAAAAATTTGCCAAAATCCTTCACTATACCTTAAAGATTAAGGTTGAACTGATGTTTGGAAAAACTCCTTCAATTCATGGTTCCATCAAATGCAGCGAATAGTGTGGTTTCTGAAACAGGAAGAAAGCTCTAGACCATCACTCCACATTCTTCATGTTTGACACTTATGATGTTAACATCCTAAATTACTGAGTCAGTTTTACACCAAAAGACCAAGTATCCCCCCCCACTTCAAAAGTGTACAGCTTTGTCTTTATCAGTCCACAGAACCGTCTCCCAAAAGCTTTGGAGAATATAAAGATTTTTCTTTTTTTTTTCTTCCAAATATAAGATGACTCTTTATGTCTTATTTGAGTCAGTAGCAGTTCTAGCCTTGGAATTATACCTTGGATGCCATTTCTGCTCAGTTTTTTCAAATTTTCTATTTAAAAAAGCAAAGTCAGAGCCTTGTGATCATAACGGCTATTTAAATTCCTTTAACAAATAACTGTAAATACAGAAAACATTCAATCAAGGAAGAAGGTGCCCCATTTCCTGAAAGATACACTATATTGCCAAAAGTATTTGCTCACCTGC